CCCACAGAGAAAGGAGGGTTTACGTCGTACCACACAACAACCTCGGAACCTAAAGCGAGTTAGGACTTATCCTGCACAACATGGTTATGCAGGGGCCTAAAAGAGTTTACGTCGCGCTAGGCGAGCTACCTCGAAGTCCTATGGATTATTATTATGCTAAGGAAGAGATAAATGCTGAAGGTGATCTTCTTGTTGCTCGGTCTGAATCCCTCGTAGTGCTGCCCACAAAGTTGGCTCCAAGCTCCTGTCGTCACGACGACTCCAGGTTTAAGTGTTTGAGTGGTGATTTGTGCTTCACAGTTTTGGTGTCAATGTTTGGTTTTGCATACAGAATAATCAAATTGCAGGTAAATAAAAGATACTTGAAAGGTAAACTGCAGTAAAGTGAAATATTGTAGATAAACTGTAAAAACTTACTGGACATCTGCTACTGTTGTGCGATTAATGTTGCAAGCATAATATAAATTGCAGCAGATTTAAATAAACTTGCAAGAAAAATAAATAAAGCAAGAAAACCCAGTATGAAAGTCATAAAAACGAGTACTAAAAATCACAAGCAAACGAAACACATAACCACATATGAAAGATCAGGACTGGGTATAAGACATTGGTAAAAGTGGGGGCTCAGAGCTGGGCTGTGTGCTTTCCGATCTTGAGTAAGAGTTACTAACTTGATAATCTACAGAAGGCAATTCTTAACCTCAATCCAAGTGACTAGCCGTGGACCTTTATAAATTTTCATAGGAAGATTTTTTCATGCAAAAGTTATTATTTAAGTCTTTTTTATGAAGAGTTCTTTTAATCATGCAAAAGAAATTTTTGTTTTATTTTCGTAAATATTTTGTAAAGTCGTACAGTCCACAGATTAGTCACTCTAATCGTGCTAGAACTACTGACAACTTAAGAGTATCGGGGGCAACAATCCCACCAAGAGTCGGCGAATAGCATCCTCGATCCTTTCCTCTATCTTATAGAAGGTCCTCGAGGTAGGAGATGCTATTCTAATAATTCCACTTCGTATCCCTCGTTTAAGCACACATAAGCAATTCCAAGCTCAAATCCCGATGCATTGGGTTTTATTGTAGGTTAAGTCATTATGAGGATTTCACCGTTGATTTAATTAAAGAAGCACGGGTCACGTCTCGGTGCATCCTGGTGTCTAGTGTCTTGATCAGTTTGTGAATTAGGGTCAAGTGTCTAGTTTCATTGTGCATTTAAGGATTAGGTGAATGAACTCTTACCTAGGGTGTGCTCCTAAGACCTTGGGATGTTATGCTGAGAATTAGGTGAATGGGCTCTCACCTAGGGTGTGCTTCTGAAAACTAGAAAGTCTATGTTGAGGATTAGGTGGATGGGCTCTCACCTAGGGTCTCTCACCTAGGGTAAAGAGGTCTACACTAAGGACTAGG